AAAACTTTAGGAGCGTGTAGGGGACCGATAAACTAAGACAAAAAGTCCTTTAGAGATTTGCTCGTTTTTGCTTCGTTTTGAAGAAAATCGCAAAAAATGAAAGAAATAATTTTCACCAAAAAACTTAAAACAATACTAAAATTATTAGATTTATCAAAAAGTATTATGAAATAAAAATTGTAGAACATGGAATTCAAAAAAGAGAATGAGTTAAAATCCTCCTGAGGTAAAATTAGATTAGAAACAAAATTTTGCGTTGTCGCGTATTTATCTACAATCCTCTAATTTTACCTCAGGAAAATTTTAACTCACTCTCTTTTCTTAATTCCATGTTCTACAATTTTTATTTTATAATACTTTTTGATAAATCTAATAATTTTAGTGTTGTTTTAAGATTTTGGTGAAAATTATTTGTTTCATTTTTTGCGTTTTTCTTCAAAACGAAGCAAAAACGAGCAAATCTCTACAGGACTTTTGTCTTAGTTTATCGGTCCCCTACACGCTCCTAAAGTTTTGACATTTAAATTGGGGACACCCTGTATATGTAACTTCTGTGTAAAGCTTAATCAATAACTAAATAAATTCTTATATCAATATTTCAGATTTTTAGTAACAGGAGATTCTCTTAAAACAATTTCATTTAGTTATCGTCTTGGAGTCACAACAGTTTGGAAAATAATCATTGAAACATGCAGAGCTATCGTCGATGAATTAATGTCTAAAGTCATGCCACTACCAACACAAAAAAAATGGAAAGAAACTGCAAAAGAATACTGGGAGATGTGGAATTTTCCGAATTGTTTAAGCGCTCTGGATGGCAAGCATGTTATTATTCAAGTGTAATAGTGGGTCAGAATATTTTAACTATAAAAAATCATTTTCCATTGTTTTGATGGCCCTTGTCGACGTCAATTATAAATTTATCATGGTTGATGTTGGTGCGTATGGAAAAAACAGCGACGGAGGCATTTTGGCACGTTCTGAGATGCGAAAAAGATTTGAAGAGAAAACATTAAATGTTCCGAATGATACGCTTCTGCCTGGTACTGCAATTGAAGCACCTTATGTTATAATTGGTGATGAAGCTTTTCCTCTAAAAACGTATTTTCTTAGACCATATCCCGGAAAGCATTTAGATACTGACGATAAAAGAATTTACAATTATCGCTTGTCACGTGCTCGAAGGGTAGTTGAAAATACGTTTGGTATTTTAACACAACGTTTTCGAATTTATAATCGCCGAATTCAAGCCAAACCCGAATATGTTGATTTCATTATACTTGCAACATGTGTGCTACACAATTTTATTTAAAAAAATGACAATAATTATACTATCAATTTCGAAGATAATACTAACAGAGCTGAAGATCAGACAATATTGCAAAATCTAAATGTTTGTGGTGGAAACAGTACGCAAGTAGCATTTGCAGTACGAGAAACTTTTACGAAATTTTTTAACTTTTCAGCTGGATCTCTTTAGCTAGCGCCAGATTATGCGCGTATTTGCAATTCGTGATTCGTAATTCGCGATTCGTGAACGGTATAAAGAAATCTGATTGGTTGAATTTGACGAATCATCCATCCACACTGTTCACGAATTATAAACGAATCGCGAATACGCGCATAGTCTGGCGCTAGCTTTATATGGCAAACTGAAAGAATTTAATTAAAAATATATGTTATTTCTTAATAATCAGACAAAACCGGGTATTTTGACTTCTCCACAAAATCTTGTTATTCTTGGTAACCAAACTTTTTTTTTTCAGCAACTAGCCTTATTTTCTTATAGTTTAAGGTTTACTAAAGATTACTGACAGTCGGCAAAATTTTTTTACTCAGATTTTTTGTAGAAAGACAAATCCAAAAAGGTGCCCGGTTTTATCAAAATATGTCAGATTAAGATATAAAATAACTAAAAAAATACTTAATGAAAAAATACTTTATTATAGCGTTTTAAAAAGCTCTCGAGGTAAGCTACAAGAATATGCAATAAAAAGCGGGCGGTTCCATTTAAAAAATTGAAGGTGACCTTCAAGCAACTATTCAAGGTCGAATTAATGACACCATCTTATGTCCCCCTCGAAACCATATAACTTTTGTCTGAAACATTTTTTTCTAAAATGCATTATTTACGAGATATTCCAACTGTTATGTTTGAAATTTAACACCCTGTATATATATATTTTGCGTCAAACAGATACATGTTTACTTGCAAATGGCAATGATTTCGAACATTGTAACAAGAACTGAACTCTTTCGCATTGTTTTTCTCATTGTAATTTTGGTATGACTTTGACTATATGTGGTCATTTTACACGTCAAGAGACGGGCTACGATTGTACATATATATACTATATGTACGAGGGCTGTATGATAAGTACCCGTGTTAGGGAAGGAAACGCATTTTCTTTTCATTTTTTTTTATTTATTTCTCAACATAGTTTCCTTTCAGCTCGATACACTTAGTCCAGCGATATTCCAACTTTTTTAAGCCATCCAAAAAATATGATTTGTCGAACTCTGCGCTCTTCATCAAAAAAGGATGTTCGGTCACTCTTGAATTCATTGAACCAATATCTGATGGTAGTCATCGAAGGTGCATGGTCCTTATAAACGGCATGTAACTTCACTTTGATTTCCTCACACGTCTCCCCATCCAAAAAAAGGAATCGAATCACTGACTCTTTTTCCATGGTTGCAAACAAACATAAACTTGTCCACTTTCAACAGCTATCAAAACAAAACTACTCGATAAATCTGTCTGAAATTTTGACAGGTGTCGTTCGAAAGATGGCGTTAAACGATAGTATACAGATTTTGAATCAGTGGCGCTATCAGTCGTTAAACACGGGTACTTATCATACAGCCCTCGTATATACAGGGTGAGTCTGATAAAAAGTCCACCATGTTTTTCTCGAAAATGATTAGAGATAAGGGAAGACATCCATTATCAAATTTGTAGGACAAGTAGGGGCACATATTTTGGTGACCTTGAACTTGACCTTGAACTTGAACTTGAGGGTCAATTAAAGGTCAACTTTGTTTTCTTAAATGGAAACTCCCTTTTTTATTGCATATTCTTGTAGCTTATCTTGAGAGCTTTTCAAAACACTATGTAACGTTCCGCTTTCGCGAGGCGGGGACGGACATCTCGGTCGGGATTCTGGGCTCGTGAAAGGGGTATCGAGACACAAATGAGAATATATTTGTTTAAGAAAATATAATTTATTGTCTTTTTAGATGTGTGTTGCACAGCGAGAGTGTGTATGTATAAGATGTGCGTGTGGGCGCGTGAGTGTATATGAGTATGTGATCGCGAGAATGTATAGTATAAGTATGTGAGCGCGAGAATGTATAATATAAGGATATGAGCGCGCAAATGTAGAATGTAAGCGGGTGAGCGTGTGAATGTATAATACAAGTAAGTGAGTGCGTGAATGTATACGGGTGTGTGATTATATCGTGCGTGGACGACGGTGCATCCAATGCACCGTGATTATTCGCAGCGCGGTTCGTGATTTCGGATATACGGTCGAATATCGATTATAGATCGCGTATCGCGAATCCGGCAGGAGCCGTTAGTTATCGGGTGGTAATTTTGGCCGCGCCGGTGGGCGGTCCTTCGACGCGTATATCGATCTCGTGCGTCGATCGGTGTCGCGGCAGGGATGCGGGTCATCCCTTGGCGCGGGACTTATCGCTCCGTAATAATGGCGCGTCGGGATCGCTTATGGCGGTCGACAACAGGTCTGTCGGTGCGTGCGAATGTTCGATGTTATGGCGAATTCGATTGGATGCACTAGTGCGCACTGAGTGCGCACTCTTTCAGTATTTAGTATTCGGTTGGCTTTCCCTGTACTGGTTCAGAATTTTATGTGTATTCGGTTGATAGTGCACTAAAAACATATGCTAGTGAAAACGTGTTCGACTGAACTGCATTATCCCAGTGCAGTGTTATTTGTACGTTCGGTTGAAATACATTGCACTAGTGCAGAAGGCACTCAATTGCACTGAGATTTTCGACAGTGCAGTTCAGTGCAAATTTCAGTATTCCAATGAAAAAATATGACAGCTAAAATATTATTATTAGATGAACTGTTAAATAGTTCGAGCAGTTCTAGCGATGATGAAATGATGGCAGTATTAATGCGACATGAAACACAAATTCCGAAAGTTCGGAATATGATAAATATTATAAATGAATATTCTGATAAAGAGGTATTATTACACATAATTTCAATGTATAGTTTAAATATTTATTAGATTATTTCATATTTAAAGTATCTCTCTTTGATTACTGTAGGTTTTTCTCTGCTCTCTTGTTGATTACAAGTTGCATATTGCACATGTGAGCACCACTAAAGAAGTTACTAAATGCACTATATTGGGATCAGTGCCTGTAATCGCTCCCAGGTCAGTGCAAGTAACCGTACTCGGGTCAGTATTAAACTACGCGCCCCAAACATGTGCGTCTAGTAACAAAAAGTTACTAGCCACTGAAACGGAGCGAGTGCACATCAATCGAATTCACCATTAGTCGCGTATCTGGATCGCGGGTGCGGAATTCGGAATGTATCGGCCGACGAGGACTCCCGTCCGTGGTAGGGAACTTCTTGCCACGAGAACAATGCCGATACACGCAGGCGGTCGGATAGTTGTGAGATGCCGAGAACTTCCGGCGGGGTAGAGCACGCCCGATCCCGTTTGCCTCTAATTCGTGGTGGTGCAAGGATTGCTCTTAGAGATGCCGCAAACTCTCGGCGGAGGCTGAGTACTCCCAACCCCGTTGTTTTTTCTCTTAGGAGCGTTCTAAGGATCTTGGATACTTTCAGACGTCTTATTGACTCTGGCAAATCGGAGGATCTGGTCTCGATAAACGAAAACGCGATCTACTTATACTCGCTTTTGGTGCGCGCGTCTGCGTAATTTGCCTATTGTTCTAATGGTATCCTCGTCATAGAACCGGCGCGCGCGACTCGGGTGTTTTAGGTATCGGTCGGTCGATACCCGAGCGCGTCACCGGCTCTCGACGGTTACGCGCGCCTAACGGCGGTTAGATATTTACGCGTTTTGTTTATAGTTTAAAAATGGACGCTCAGCGCCTCCGCATTTTGCCTGACCGGTGTTCGTCGGGCGGCGGACTTCCGGCGAATCGGCGGCCGGGTAACGGTGGAGGGATGCATCGTTACAACTATAATAAAGTATGTTTTCATTAAGTACTTTTTGAATTATTTTATATCTTAATCTGACATATTTTGATATAAAAAATAAAATATCTCGTAAAATATTTAGTTTTCGATAATCTTACCGTAATACTTTTATGTACAGAATAATGAGACAAATCAATTAGTACAAAAAAAGACAAATTGTTTTAAAAAATTCATTGTAAATAAAATTAAATATAAAAGTAAAGCTCTAAAGATAAAAATCAGTTTAGAATGAGATACAATGGTAATGAGAGCCCAGCGCAGTAATAAGGGCGCATAAAAGTTTATTATAAACAAAGTCTCAACGTAGCATAAAAATATGCGTAGAGCGAACGTTTCGGCCTTTTTTTTGGGCCATCATCAGCGCACGGAATAATAATATCAAAAAAATATATATAAATTACAGAAGCGTAGATTACATCGCAAATATTTGGTAAGTCGCAAAAAGTCAAAAATTATAAGACAGAGATCTCTCATAACGTCATGATATATATCCAGACGTATCCTTGTAGTTGACAAGAAGGACAACTCCTCGATTACTAGGTCGAAAGTTGAAAATTCAGTCAATATACAAGCATGGCGGTACGTTACATTTCCAATAATGCCTGTAAATAATCGGAGCAATTTTTTACGGATAATGATGTGAGAACCGAAAAAATACTCAATCTCCAAAGAAAACTTACACATAAGAGAATACTCAGAATTCATTGCATTTAATGATCAACGGATATATATAATTAGAACTTGACACGACGGTTTATAACGGCACAATGACATAATTAGTTGAACGCAGAGGTGAGACGGAACAAAATATTACAGTTTAAATTTATCGATTAAATTCAACGTTTCAATTTTGAACATACCGCCCGCCTTGGAACGATAGTTCCAAAATAATCGAGATAACATTTGCAGTAAATGACAAGAGCGCACGCCACAAGTAACATGAGATACATGAGCGAAAAGACGACAAGTTACGCGACGTGGTTTGACGCGCTGAATTTGCCGCCCGCCTTGGCGGAATGACGCTCGTATTTTGACAATTTTGATCTTAATCTTATTAATTACAATAAATGAAACGCAACGCAGCAAAGGTGTCTAATTGCTCGTTGCCTCAGTATTGACCGGTAGTACGCACAGTTGGACAATCGGTCATTTGAATTCGGATTTGACGATATTGCGAGCGCGAATGATCCAGAAATCGCGGCGCAGAACGTTGATGGTTAGTTGCGGTCCGGCATGTAACGCTCGTAAATGAGTTTGATTCACGCTCAATGTAACGAGAGGATGTTATGAGAGAAGAATCGGATGTTGAACCGGCATTGGCAACGAGGCTTTGTTAAGCCGTCCACCAACGCGTAGAATTCCGTCCCGATCGAGGAACGGTTGAAGCGAGAGAAGTGAGCTTCTCGACGAGAGGCTCTGATTGTTTGACAACGCGTGTATTTCCGTCGGAAATACGTCGGCTTGAATTTTCTTAATCCAGAAAGATCTGGCATTGTTACAGTCGTATGCAGAAAGCGAAATATTTTGTGATGCCGGATAATGAGATGACAAAGGCGAGAACGACAATGAGCTTGCTTCACGACAAGAGCGATTACTCCGACATTTATTTACAAATTTATAGATATACGCGGTGACGCGAATTAACTTTGGCCACGATGAATATTTAGAAGCGAGGTCCCATTTAAAGAGCGGTTGAGAGCATTGTAGCGAACTAACCTTTTCTTCGAGAGGCGCTTCCTCAGGAAGACGCTCATTGTTACACGGCCATTTATCGGAATCGAAGAGCAGCCATGGAGGTCCATGCCACCATAGCTCGCGATTAATAATTTCATCGCCAAATATTCCGCGCGAAGCGCAATCCGCGGGGTTGTCCTCCGTTGGCACATGCCGCCATTCGACGTCTGGAAGACGAGTCTGAATGTCATTAACGCGATTGGCGACAAAAGTCTTCCATCGCGAAGGAGGTTGACTTACCCACGCGAGCATTTTAAGTCGCCAGAGTTGCTGCATAAAGATTTTAGCAGTGATCGTGACCGGAGTGTCCCACCCGAGCGGATCGTAAAACTTTGCGATCGCGGACAAAATCGTACGCTTTGTTTCTGAGGCGTTATCAGCGAGCGAGACGCGAAATTCGAAAACATCGTTCGCCGGATTCCACCCGATTCCGAGGATTTTGATTTGTTCGTCTTCAGACAGAGGTTTGTTCGTGGCTAGACCGTGATCTGCGATTTCGATGTCCTCGAGAAGAGAGGGCGAGTTGCTCGCCCATTTCCGTAATACGAATCCGCCGCGCTTTAACATAGAGTTTAATTGATCGCGCGCTTGCCGAATTCGAATGGTATCGTCAGCTCCGAAAAGTAAGTCGTCGACGTAAATATTATCGCTTAGGATAGGAACAGCAAGCGGAAAATGCTGACCTTCGTCGATGACTAGTTGTTTTAATATCCGAAGGGCCAGAAACGGAGCACAGGACATTCCATACGTAACCGTTAGTAATTGATAATCGATGAGCGGTTCCGACAGCGATGACTTCCACAAGATCCGTTGATAATCTATATCACGCGCATCGATGTGAATCTGGCGATACATTTTCGCGATATCGGATGAATAGACGTATTTGTATCTACGCCATTGTAGGATGACCGACATGAGATCGGTTTGTAATTTCGGCCCGGCGTTTAAATGATCATTTAACGATGTGCCGTTAGAAGTAACGCTCGATGCGTTAAAAACAACGCGAAGACGCGTAGTAGAGCTACTTTCCCGGATCACTCCATGATGCGGGAGATAAACCTGTTGGTTGATGTGAGTTTGAGCGATCGGCGCGGGCCGCATATGCCCCAGCCGCTGATAATCAGACATGAATTCGCGATATTCTGTCGCGAGCTCCGATTTATCACGAAGTCTGCGGAGTGACGAATTTAGCATTGTCTCCGCCCGAAGTTTTGAATTTCCGATGTCAATCGGAGGACCTCTTTTGAACGGTAGCCGCACAATGTACCGTCCGTTTGAGTCGCGAGAATGAGTCGAGCAGAAATGCTCTTCACATTGTTTTTCTTGCGGCGTACGGCTGCCCTTAACGCGCGAGTGCGAGACTCGATAAATTCGCTTAAAGTTTCGTGAGACTGCGGGGCATCTTTATGGGCAAGGCTTAGTTCCCAAGCTTTGCGCGTTACCGGATCTAATTTTTGCACAACGATATGAACGACAATATCTTCCCAGAGTTCCTCCGGTTTTCGATTGAGGGCTTTCAATGATGCCATTGCGATATTCACTTTGTCGTTTAAAGTCTGCAGCTCAATGGCAGATTCGCGCGAGATAGACGATAAGCTGAGCAAGGTCGAGAGATGTTTGTTTATTGACCGTCTTTTGTCGTCGTACCGTTTGGTCAACGCTTTCCATGCTATTTCGAAATTAGCGGCGGTAACCGACAGATTCGCTATACATTCTACCGCGCGACCCGTTAAACACGATGATAAGAAATGCATTCGCGCGAAATCATTCCAGTCCGAATTTTCTCGAATTAGCGTCGTAAATCGATCGCGAAATTGTTCCCATTCGTCGTAATTGCCTTGACCGCCGCGAGAATATGAATGCGATCGTATGCGAGACAATTCGGACTGATTTTGAGACGAGTAAGCCTACTGCGTACGCGACACGAGAGAGAATAAGACACGAAAGAATATCATACGAGAAATGATGATATTCGAAACTATGATCGATTGCTATCGACCAGCTCGAATCGTTGTCGTAGGCAGACTAAATCGACCGACCGCGGAAACTCGC